GAAATGTTCTCTTATTATATTTTTACGTTATATAAAGCAAATATCCTAAATGCTCTCTTACTTAAGAGATTCAAATATGCTGCAACGAACCGTCATCATTAGGTTGATGCCAAGTCTTTTTTAAATGCCGAATGAATTTAGTTGTAGACAGATCTAGTCTGAAAAGGACAGCCGATCTCTATTTTGCAATCTTTTGATTGTGCTCTTTTATTCTGGGCCATTCATCAATGCATCCTCGGAGCTAGAAATCATCCTTACAAAATTTCATAGCTAACATTAATTGGAGACCTATTTTACTTGTCATGTATGCTCAAAGCCTTAACTATATATGTATACACACACATTGAGTTAGTTATTCTTTTTTATCTTAATCCACGTTTTTTATGCTCGTGTGTGTGCGGATCTACGCCTCTATAAGTCAGAGTGCAAAACTGCCAGTGATAACTCAGGATAATTACAACGGAGAGTAGTCAGTCCTGATTCATCATAGTTTAGTGACCCAAGGAAAAACATGTCTGGGGTTGCTTAAATACGAACGCCAGTTTAGTTGGGTTGGTGAGTGGTGAGTGTGCACATATGTAAGTCGCTTATAACTTTGTTAAGGGGACCTCCGCTTCGAATGAAAGTGCATGAAGAAGAGATTCGTTGGTCGAAACGAAGGTCCCCCTAACAATGTTATCTCAGGAGATTCATCCAAACCAAGTTTCACTTCGTATCACTCATAACTCTTCAGCCTACGGTAATCCATGTATAATGATGCCAAAATACACGACTGGGCCTGCTTACTCCCATACGTCCGGGTGGGGCGAAATGATGATGCATGAGAAAAAGTCTTAGCTTGTCTCTATCTCTGGCCAAATAGTCTCCGTTTAGAAAAATATTATTTGCAATTAAGTCTGAAGGAAATAATAGTTTTAACCTATCTAGCTGAGCTTAACGACTAGAATAACTTCTTTTATAATTTCATTTTTAACCTAAAATTACTTTCAAGCTGGTTAAGTGATATCGACATAGAAATCTTTTAATTGGACACTAATTGAATTAAATACATCACAATATTGTCATCTGAGGCTCATCCTAACTCAGCTGCCCCTTTCTATAATTAACTACTTGGAAATTCATCATATCAACAGTATATATGTAAATTCAAACTATAAATTAAACTCAGTCAACTTCGAGTTTTTCGCCTCAGCAAAATTTTATTGAATATTTTTTTTCAAATTTTATCATCATACATTTTAATTTTTTACCTCTTACTAGTCATATCCAGACTTGCTCGCCATGGCAACAACCTAGATTAGAATCACCTGGTAATACAGGTCTTTATCGTGGTCATTCGCCATATCCGCCTCAGACTTCCTTCAGCTCAAGTCCTTATGCCACCAGTGGAGGGACTCACACATACGGAAGTCCTCGCGCCAATGTCTACACTAGTCCCTACGCCAATCCATATGTCTCATCAATTCGCAACAGCCAATCCCCATATGAACGCAGTGGCCCGTACCACCAGCATAATCCATCCACGGCCTATTGTCGAAGTCGACACAGTGGTCAAACCAGCGGCTCTTTTACCTCTAGTCCTTCCGTTTCATCCACTCCATACTTTGAGCATAGTGATGCTGAATCACCCGCATTCGGACGTTATAAAAATGCATCGTTTTTTGAATCATTCGACTCCAGTTCTGCTGGCTCGTCTTCCTTTCGTTTCGAAAGTCGTCGATCTAGTTATGGCGATAGTAGCGGTGGCGTACGTCGGTCGTTCAAGGACAAAGGTGATGTAATCGCACGCTCTGTCTCTGACCCATGGGCAGGCATGCAGCCAATCAAGGCACCCCCGGGCAACCGGCTGGTTGCGGAGCCTCCTCTGCGACACAAGCTTCTATTTGCGTCTCCTTCTGTTGCCACTTAAAATGTTCGGTATTTATGTGTTTACGCCAAATCTCTCTGTTCCCTATCTCCCCCTTTCTCTTGTCCAAAGAAATCCATTACTCGCCATTTTTTTCTGCATCCTAAATTTATTTTATCTTGCATTTTTATTAGGTAATGTTGCAATAATTAGCCAAATGCATGATTTGGCATGTGGGTCTGTTTCGGGTTAGCAAGTCCCTCGCTGCCATATCAATTCTCATTTCTCCAAATAGATTTTTTATTATTTAGGCACTTATATCAAGCTACATAATGAAAGGTGGCAGATCGTTGTGAGACGAACATTATTTAAGGCCTAAAGAAGATAATGTCCACTAAATTTCTAATACTATAATGCAATATATTATTCATGAAATTGCTTTGTTTTGCGGGTAACTCAGCAGCTATTCAATTAGTTCTAGGACCACTTCCGTTTTTATCTATTTGTATATTTTGTCCTTAATAATTCGTTTTGATCAGAATAGTTTGTAACTCCTTAAATCCGGCATCATGGGTCTTAATAGGCCCCACTCTTAAATAGAATATACGACAAGCAAAAACTTTCCTGTATATCCCTTTGAGCCAAAACTTTGGCCAGTCGGTCCTTCACAGGGCAGAAGTTAATTTCAAGGCAAGCTGGTTATCTCCCATATAGCGGAGTTGCCGCTGAATCAAATGTGTATTTGCCATTACAATTGACAATACTACTTTTATCAGATTTTACTAGGATTTTGAGATTCTCTGTAGATTTTAAATAAGAGCTTTGACCATCCTTGATTACTTGAGATGGACTCATTTGTTGTACCACCCGGGCTCGATTCTCGTTTGGGATGTTGAGGAGGTTAAACTCTGCCTCCTTTAAGTGAGATTTAAGGGCATTTTTAGACCTACTTATCTTCCTATGGCATAATTCATTATCTTAAGCGATCTACTGTAATTAATGCTCGTATTCAAGATCTATAGATTTCGAAATTCTACTTAATACGAATAGATGGCTTGTTTGTTAATCTCTTCTGGGAGTGTTTAAGGTTGATACTTTTCAATGCAGATTAAAGTGAATCACAACTGCTATGACAAAGTAGGGTGTAGTTCACCTTTGTAAAAAGTCCAGAGAGTTCTATCACCTAAACATGCACTTTTGCAAATACCATGGGGCTGTTTCCGAAGTAGCTTAGCCAAGTGAACGTTTCATTTAGGGGCAAAAATCTAAAACCATATCCTATTCGTCTGACAATTAAGGAACTTGGGCAGGTCCTCAAGCTTCTGGTACAATATGAGATAAAAGGAAAACCTACATAGCGTCTTGGGAGCTAATACGTTGATTTCCCATCAACTCTTGAATGATGGATAGTGTTGAAACCAATTGCTAAGAAGAAGCTTTCATGCAAACAGTGATTCCGTGGCTTCCAACATCAAAATAATTGCTAACAAAAATGGCGAGAAAGTAACTATAATTAATCAAGTCACGAAAAAACAATTTGGTTTACCCAAAATCCATTCACATGAGCTAATGGTTCCCTTGGATTTTTAGGAACTGAGTGAATGTAACTTTCGTCATTTCTCGAGAAAGGGAACAATACGGGCTGCTCATAAGGAGCTTGCCAAATAGATTTACGCTTCTTTCAAACGACTTCTAATCAAAGGGTATAATTGTACGGGGCTCGTCCTTTAAATCTGTAGATAAAAGCTCCTCTACAATTTTCAAAGCTTACTATTTGAACGAACTTTGGATTTGGTAGCTCTGAAATTCCTTATAGTGACCTCAAAAAATAGTTCATACCTATAATCATGCCGTCTGCATAACTTTTTCCTAATGATGAATTTTATGCTCGTTCGGGCAATGTATTCCTAAATGTCTCTAACTTCTTTTTTTACATAGGAGATACGTAATTGTTTATGTCGTTCTGTAAATTTCGACTTCCGTGCGTTCTGGTCTCAATTTTATCACATTTAGTTCTAGAAACGCGATGCTTTCGAAGATACGCGCACTAATTACATTAGCTTCAGCATGCTACGAAGCTGTCTCTCAAGGGTCCAGGAATTTAATAATGGGGTTACCTCAAGCCTACGTATTCTCCTCAATTAGTATATCTACAGTGGCTAGCAGTTGTGTCTCTCACTATCTTAATCTTTAAGCTATTACTTCCTTGACCGCATGTTCCATGCTGAACATGCGAGCTCTTGGTCGTGGATTTTGGTGACTACAGTTATAAATGTCACCTATCTCTAATAGCCTTGTCAACAGCCTGGTTGCAGAAGAAATCAGTTTGCCTCGCATTGATAAGCATAATTCGTCGAGGTATAGCAAGCTTACTTTGCCTTTAAAGTCATACTTATCGTGAAATATAATGGAATTATAATCGTGTTGCTCAATGGAAAGCATTTTTTCTTTTTGTATGAGATGTATTCACCCTAATTCATTTAAGATGATTAAGTACAAATAGGTGAATTCTCTCAAAATGATATGAGTAGAGCTAACGTTTTCGTTGAATTTCGCATGGCTTTGCTTTCCCAAAAGGTATTCTCATTCGGGGTGGACTGCAGTTAAGACCTCGCCCAGACCTTATCAATACCCTCAGCGGGACTCGAACCATGACAATGTAACGTATAACCTAGACATTCAAACAATACGCCAAGAGTGTCCTAGGGCCATAAGACATTTTCGAATTTTAGGGAAGACCAACCATGTCACAATCTTTAGTGGGATTATCGAGGAAGCTAAGTTATATTTGCCATGACAATCGACTACGTTACTTATTTTTCACCTATAGGTAACGTTTGGAGACGTATTTAATCTATTTCGTTTAATGTGAGGATAGATTGGAAGTTGAGTTTTCACACAATGATATGAGTACAGCTGACGTGACCAAAGGGGACTCGTGGCAATGTAGCGTAATGATTAAAGTGTCAAGATTGCACATTGCACTGTCATGGTTCGACCTCCGCGGTGGGTGTTGATAAGACAGGTGAGGTCGAAACTGCAGTCCACCCTGGATGAGAATAGCTTTTGGTAAACAAGGTTATGTCAAGTAGTTGTTCGACCGTGTTTTCAAAACTTGGTCATATTGTCGGAAAGTCCTAGAGGAATTAACCTTGTACGGATTCCATTTTATGCATGATTATTCCAGGTTCGGACCCTGGACTTAGTACAATTCTAGACGTTTCGCCGGCATCGGTACGACTGGAGATTATCATGCATACAATGCGCGTTCATCAAGGTCTTCCTGCCAATATGAAAAAGTTGTCAAAGCAACGTCAAACAACTACTATACATCGAAAAGAGACTGCGAACAAAATAGAGGCCACAATGGTAGGGAGGCTTATAGAAGCGCACCTTGCCCTGAGTCCATTGTAGGCATAATTATTTCCAGTCGAACCGTGGACG